CACTATAAAAGATTTCCGATCCATATTGAAAACCAATTGAAATACAATATCTACATTAGAAAAGATAGAGATAGACCGATGTAGAATAAATAAGAAGTATACAATTAGAGTATTTACTTCTAGTGAAAGAATGTCATAATCATACTTAACTGTTGGACACACTTAGCAATTGGATATGAAACCTGATTGGGTTGAGGTGAACCACTAAATGGGGTCAAAATTAAAACGAAAATTTTTTGAAATTTGAGACACACCTTAAAGTGTTAGATTTCACATCTAACAAGAAGAGATGATTGTGATCTCATGCACCAAAGATATATAGTATATAGGTCAAAACGTTTATATGGATAGAGAAGAAAGGCACCAAATCATGTATGATATAGGAGAGAAATAAAAAAAATGGGATTGTGCACTGTAAGATAGTTAATCATTGTTACTACAAGTCCTAGCCTGCAAATATGCAATCAGGTGAGTCCACGTTCGTAGTACCTTTCCAAAAATATATTTTATAGATGGTTTTGGATTTAAAACTTCACAATCATGATCATGATCATGATCATGAATAAGGAAAACAAATGAAGGTTAAACAATTAATATAATTTGTTTCTAGAAAATCAAAATTTATCAATCTAAAAGCGACCTAAACCAAAATTAAAAAAATTATCTATTTTAAATTTTAGAATTTATTTTTATTAGTTTTATTTGTTTTATAGATTTTGGATGGAGACCGCACTTGGCGATGCACTAACACCAGCAAAGATGGTATTGAAGATAGCATATCGCACGTTCTTGCTAGATCATATTGTATATTTACTCCATTACGCAAAAGATAAAGAGTATTTTTATTTTTAAATTTGAATTTTGGATCCACCTAAGAACCAACAATTTGGTTCTAATGGATAGTACACCATGAGAGACTAGTCCCCTAAAACAAATGGTTTAAAAATAAACTAACAAACAAATACTATGCCAAGGCTTAGAAAGTGTCATTTGTCAAGAATGAAATCGAAGGCCCTAAGAAGACCACGAATCATCGTTGTGGAAGATTCTCAGGGATACTGACAGGCATCCCGGATACAATATTTATCCCTCCAAATAATGAATGCGTGAAAGTAATTTATAGAGTGCATTGAGCGTATCGTCGTCGTCTTCATCATCCGAGCATTATCCCTATTTCTAGAGGTCGGATTCAGGTTTGCTGAGTATTATCCCTATTATTTGAGGTCAGATTCAAGTTGGTTGCATGAAACCTGCTCCGTCGTTCTGCGCTATCAAAGACTGTACCCTCCGTCTAAGCAATTATATCTTTTATTCTCAGTGCTTATATCCATGTCTTTTGGACGTCTTTTTAGAACCTTCTAGTTTAACCAAATCAACCTTCCTAATTAGTGTTGTTCTAGGTCGTAGATCTAGTAATAATATGTAAATAGACAATTTGTGAGAGTCCATCAAGTGCCTTTCACTTCCTCACATTAATAGAGCAGGTGGGGTACCCATTCAAGGGAAAGGTTTCTATACTTCCTCTAAATATAGAAGATATATATCGTCCCTCCATTGTTCAATTTAGGTCAAGTGAGCCACTGTTTGATCTAGATATGATGCCTCATAGTATTTTATTTTTAGTTTTTTTCTACAAATTTTATGAATATAACATGGGTGCAGTTGGCATACAGATGGATCCGTAGCTGTAGAGGTAAGGTGCACCTTCAACTTTATCATGGTATATAATTTGATGTAAAATGTTCTTGAGTATTATCTACTAAATCTATTTTATATCTAATTATAAATTTAAATTAAAAA